TTCTCTTGACGCCAGAATCTCAAATGTCACTGGTGTTTCAAAAACAGTTCCAAGAAAACTTTTTGGATATATATTCACCATCTGCCCATGGAGTGGTGATTGGGCTAGTTTGGGCCTGTCAAGGCCTCCAGTCTGAGCCCCCTCTGAAGCGCAGTGGCCCTGTTCCCATCTTACCCACCAGCCTTGCTCTCCACAGCTTCCTGTCAGGTCATCACCAAACTAGCATCCTGCTCAACCCACCTTGGCTCTCCTCAGCCAGTAGTGGTCCAAGGCTCCTCACCCTGTCTGGGGATTCACTTTCCCTAGGCAAATAGCTCTCCTCTCCTCCATCCCCAGTACATCTTACACTGTTTTCTTTCTGTGCATTTCTCCACTGACAAACCGGGTGTCCAGATGCCCTCTCCAAGTTGAGGAACTATGTGGGGGAAATGCTTGAACATTTAGATTTCAGTCATGGGCCTGGAACTCAAACCAGAGGACCCCGGTGGTGAGGGGTGTGGGGGAAGAGATGAAGAGTTGCTGGGGAGGGTCCTATCTGGACTCCCCTTTCTCTGAAACTAAAGAGCAAAAAGAGAAGTGGGCATTTCTTTGGGAGAAGAAAAATGCTTCCAAGTAACTTTTTCTTAGAAATGAGTTTGGTTCCATCCTCTGGGCATAGGAATCATTTTTTTCAATCTCATATTTTATTGATTTGGCAACCATTTACATAACTAAATAGTTCTGGGAGTCCATCTTCACAGCTCCATATGTGAGCCTGCCTCACTCACCCTCCACCAAAGCTCCAATGCCATAACCCATCTCATTCCCTCCTCTCCTCTTTCTGCCCCCAGCTCCTCTGATAACCAGTATATTATTCATAGAATTACTGAGTCATTCCTTATGAGTTATTATTTGTGTTGAGGGAGAATAAGATATAAGATGTCATGTAAAACACAGAATAAGACTAACTTTTTTCTCTCTCTTGACTGTACCTACCAAATTAAAAAATTTTCAAAACATAATACATATATAAAAACTCTAAAATCTTTAAGAAACAGACACACCTTAGAGGACAAAAAATACTAGCAGAAATACATCTGAGGGATTGTAGAAAATGTGCAATAAAACATTATAGCTCACAAAAAAAAAACATTGAAATAGCTTTCTTTTCTTATAATATCATAAAAAATTAAAAAATGGATATGATCCAGTGCTGAAGGTGGAAGGCAGGGGGTGGCTTTTGTATTATACAATGGGGTTATGCTGCCTTTCTGGAGAAGAGTTTGGTAATTGTGTCAAGACCGTGGACATGTAGATAAGAAAATTAGACTTGCGAATCTGTCTCAAGGAAAGACTCAACCATGACCTGAAAGATTTAAGTGTGTGTCCACAAGGACACTCACAGCAGCACAGTGTGTGGTGGTAAAAACTCAAAAGCGTGCAACATTAGATATTGGTGTAATAAATCATATACATATAGCATTATATATGTATATAAAATAAAATATAATACAATCACACAAAAAAGGATACAGTATATTTACAAGAATAAAATAACAGTGATCAAAAGTACATGCTCTTGGGCCTCCCTGGTGGCGCAGTGGGTTGAGAGCTGCACTGTGGAGCTGTCTGCAGCTTCTCCAGCACGGGTTCAATTCCTGGGCAGCCAGGGAGAAACCCACATGGCGGGACACATCTCCTGTCTCACCTGCTGTACCCCTCAGCAGTGTACTTTGGTCCATCTGCCTGTTCTGTTCCCTGCTCTGTTTCTGGTGAATCCTCTCACCCTCCCACACCTCTGGCCTCTACCCCAGTTCTTGTATAAAAATAAATAAATCATAAAAAAAGAGTTATTTAAAAAAAAAAAGTGCATTCTCTAGAATCAAATTTCTGGCTTCAAAATGTACCTTTTTCACTCACAAACTGTGTGTCCTTAAAGGCTTGCTTAATTTCTCTACCTCAGTTTCCACATCCATAAGATAAAGACAATCACGACGTCTTCATAGAGTTTTGCTAAATTGTCAATGAGACAATGCTAGAAAATGTTTGGCAGAGGACTTATTTGACATATAGTGTGTACTCAATAAATGTCATTTATCAATGTCACTTATCAATATGTCACTTATCAATATGAAAAGATGCTCACTATAGTTAAGTTACTTCACTTACTTGCTAGATCAATAGACTGGGAGCTTATAACAGAGATATGAAAGAGAAAAAAGAAATGAAAATATATTTGAGTCTCACACTGCTATGAACCTCTGTGGAAAATACTGGAGATTATGTGGAACTTCTTGGCACAAACAAGTCTTCTTTTGCCTGAGTATTCTAAATTAAGATTTTCTCAATTTTTCTGGAAAAAATTATGCACTTTCCTATTCCTGCTTCTGTTGGAGTTTCCTTGTGGTAAGGAGTGGCTGACAGATTCTTAGAGGAAACTGGTAGTGATTCACATGGGATTTTCTGGTAGAGGTAGTATCTTGAACAAACCTTTAGAAACAAACATCTTTGAAAAGCCCAGGACTCCTGGTCCTGACCTGTGAATGGGTGAGAATATGGGCCAGGCCATTAGGTCCAACCTCTGTATGTGTCACCAACAAGACAAAGGCAACAGACTGGTGAGGGAAGAAAGCTTTCATAAAAAGAATAAGAGAAGCTCAAGTTCCTCAAGATTACTGGCCTAGCTCACAGAGCAAACACCAGATCTGAATCAATGAAGGTAAGATGATTGGTAAACAAATCGCAGTGAAGGCTTGGCGTGAACATGTCATTTTAAAATGAATTCCACTCTGTGGAGTACATGTGACACGGTCTTGCATAAAAGACAGTGCTATAAAAATTATATGATTTTATAATATTTTAACTTTGAAAAGCATGTATCATGAGTTCCTTTATTTTTAAAATTTTTTTAGTTTTAAATTTATTTATAGATATTTTACACTATTGTTCATTTAATTGTACTAGTAAATCCTGTACTCTGAACTCTCCCAATTATTTTGTTCAAATCCTCTGTTACTTTTCTAGGAATAAATTTCAATGTTTGCTGTATGAAAGTTTTGTTTTGAACAGTTACAATTCATTAAATCTTAAGAAGCTAAAAAAAAAAAAAGGCAAAGCTAGACCCTAATCCTCTCTTCTCTGGGTCGCCTTTTTTCATCACCCCAAATATTCCAAAGCCTGTTCCTCTTGTAGGTTCACTCTCTCAGAACATGACACCATTGTTCACCCAGTGGCCCAGGCAAGAAGCCTGGGAGTGATTCCTGATTCCTTTCTTTTCCTTAAACACATGTCCAATATGTCAACAGAACAAGTGATTCTACCTTAGGGACATATCCTGAATCAGGCTGCTGCTCACTTCCTCCCTCCCACCCTGTTCTGAGCCAGCATCGTCTCACACTCAGGCCACAGTGACATTCCTAACTGGTGTTTCTATATAGCCTTTCATAATTAGCCTTTTAAACTACAAATCTAGTTCTCTCACTCCACTCTTAAAGCAATATTTCTACACTCCTTTTGGTGGATTTCCAGCTTAAATGGCTTAAAGGTAGCAAGACCTATTTGAGAATTTGATAAGCAATAGTTCTCCCCCCAAGGAAAATACACCTGAATCCTGAGGTAAAAAGTTCCAAGTTACACACTTTCCTAATTTCTTAAAAATCTCCGGTGAAGGACTATGGGTGTGTTGACGGTAGGTGTGCTGTGGAAACATACATCTGAAGACATGGGATCCTATGCCTGTGAATTATATACAATTTTGTTAACCAATGTTACCTCAATTTAAAAAAGAAAATAAAATCAATAAAATAAAATTATAAATAACCTTTAAAAAAAAAACCTACAAATCTAATCATGCCACCATACTCAAAACCTGCTAGTGGCTTCCCGTTACACTGAGAATCACAGTGAAACTCCGTAGTGTGACCCAAGGTCTCTGCGGGCTAGGCCACACCTTGCTCTGACACCCTGGTTCACCACAATCGCTATTACCTTGGCAAACTCACACCTTACATACCTGGGCCTCAATCACTTTGGTGTTCCTTCTTCCCCTCCTGGACAAAGCAACTCAGTTCTTGCTGTTCCATCTGCCAAGTATGCTTTCTCCCCATATTTCCACATGGCTCATTTCTTCACATTGTCCAAATGTCACCTGTTTACAGGACCCTCCTCAAACATTCTGTCCAAAATAATCTTTTGAGTGAAAATCAAAATCAACAAGCAACTATAAACCAGAGTCATTCTGCAGGGGGATGGGGGATGGGGGGAGGGAGTAGGATAAAAACAGGGTTGGGAAGAGCACAAGGGACTATGGTGATGGTGAACGGGTGATGGAACTTCACGGGGACTATAACCGAGATGAAAAAGCATACATTGTACAAAAATGAAGACTGATGTAAAATATAAAATTAAAAAAAAACATTTTGTATTAATTAGCTTATATTCACCTGTAAATAACAGTTTAAGCAATGCAGATAATTTAACAACTCAATTAACAAGACCTGTGATGGGCAGTTCCAAATCTAATTTAGTAGCTCAGCAATGCCCTCAGCAACCAGACTCCTTCCAGCTCTCTGCTCTTACATCCAATGGGTTGGCCTTTTATCCTCCTTACTATTGACATCTGATCACAAGATGATCAGCCTTCACATCCTTTCACGACCATGTAAACAAGGTTGAAAGGCAGGAAACAGGAATTAATCAAGGCAAAGACTCCTCTTCAGATCCTTTAAGTTAAACAATAAGCAGGGAGACTTCCATAGAAGTTAACACATTGGATTTTCCACTCACATTTTATTGACCAGATCTTAGTCAGATAGCTACCACAAATCAGTCACTAAAAAGGCACTAGAAAGGTTCATGCTGCTCTTAAAATAATCAGACTTCCTACTCTGGCAAGGACTTCCCTCCACTGAGCTATGCTGCCACCATAACAAACTGTAGTTTTATAAATTGAGAGAGAAGAGGGAGAATAAATGCTGGCTAGGAACCCATCAGTATCAATGTCTATAGTCCCATTTTTTTTCTCTATCCCCTTCTTCTGCCTTGTTCTTCCTTGTAATATTATCTTGTATATTTATCTGCTTGCTTCTTGCATGTCCCTGCACTAAAATGGGACTCTGACTAACTTGCTCACTGCTTTATTTCCACACTCCAGGCAGTACCTGGGAATCGTTAAGTAGTCACTAAATGAAAGGATGGGTGTTGAGTACATGGGCAAAAACAGATCTTTCTGTTATATCTCATTTTAAAATGTAAATTAATTACCTACCTCTCCAGTGAGAATAAAATGGAATGAAGCAGATAAAACCCCTACCACAGTGCCTTTAACATAGAAAAAGCACTATCCATTTAACCCCTTTGCTATTGTGTAGCAGCAATATCAGGCAGCTACAGGAAAAGCATTGCCATAAATATTAATTTCATATACTTTTACTGATTGGGAAATAATGCACTAAGGAGTCAACCACTTGAGAAATGTATGACTTAGAAAGTAAAAGAAATCCACCCTCAAGCACACATTTTTTTCTAGATAACTTTTTTCCAAGAAAACATTAACATAATTTTTACATAAAAGGGGTAATACTATCATGCTGTTTTACAACTTCATTTTTTTTAACTCAGTATCCATTAGATTGACATTTTCTTACAATTATTAATGCAAATATGTATCTTGTTCTTATTTAATTGTATTTGATATAAGCTCAAGCTTTTTTGTGGGTTTTTGCTTTTTGTTTTATTTTGTAACTGGAGACTTCTTAGGACAGGACCTTATCCTAAGGACCTCGTCCTATCTATCTTATAAGTTATTCATGTCCACATTTTTTGGCGATGTGACCTTCCCTGGTACAGTGGAAAAACTGTCTTTAATGTTGTATCAGCAAATTTTACCCTATGGTGCTGCTGTTGAGAATCTTCATTATTATGCCATCTTCCCTTCATGCAGACCTATAGGAAAAATATGAAGAAAATTTACATCTTCTTTGATCAAGCATTATAAATATTTTTAATAATTTTCTTCCAATTTTTTTTTCCTATGCAAGTACAATTTATTTTAAATCTATTTAGGACCATACTGGGAATACAATTTTATATCCTTGGCTTTCACATAACATTAAATTATAAATGTTCCCAAGTATTATGCAAAGGAGATGATGAACTCTTTGAGCTGTGAGAAACCTTAGAAATTATTTACTTCTGGCTCATCATGCAAATTTTACAAGATAAAGCACCTGAGGCCTGAGTTGTTTGAGTTTCTACAAAATGTTTTAAACCTTCTTGATTTGTAGTCTGACTAAACTGATGCAGAGAAGGAAAGGCTGGACCTGTTGGCTGCTTTGTGTGCACATCAACAAAATGCATGTGTCTCTATAAGCCACAGAAACTGGGCTGCCAGCTCAGTTCTCCTCACCCCTTGGTGACTTTGCTGACAAGTATGTTATCCCTCCACACCTTTCTGTCAACGTCCCTCCCTCATGAGAAGCATCGATTCTGGGCACTACAACAAACCTGTCACACCAGCATGCATGGGGAGAAAATCTCCTGCTCTGTGCCCCTCTAAAGATCTAGGTGTCTGTTGAGCTGGCATACTTGGAGGTGGGAGGGGCAAATCACATCAACACACACCCTGCAAGAGTGTGTATCTGGGATATAAGCCGCAACAAGATGAGTCATGGAATGAGAGATATGTTTCCACAATGGAATGCTATTACTAGTCTTTGTAAACAGCATGGCACGGTGTAATCGGAACATCAGCATGGCTTAAAGGCTAAGTCCACTGCTCTGTAGCTATGTCACTTGAAGCAGGTCAGGCCATTAGCTACTTCCTTTGCAAAGAGGGAATATAAATGCCCACATGGTGGAGTTGTAACCACCACCTCCATGCATGCAGGCACTTGATACACAAGGGGTATTAACAACACACTTCCCTTTTCCTCTCTGTGAACAGTTCAAAGTATATAGTAGGACCTTGGCAAATATTTCTCACATGAAAAGAGAATATAAACAAATATGGTCCCACATTTTGAAACTAAGCAACTGAGTCTATAGCTGTAACAGCAATAACTTTGCCAACACAAGATTCCAGAAAAGCCAGGCACCAGGTTTCTCGATATGGAAATTTTCAGATTCTCTGCTCTCTTGATTTCCATTGTTACCCCAAATGTTTCAGTTTAATCATAAAGAAGATTGCTTTGGCTTTATTCTCTACCAGGAGATGAAGGTAAATAGTGATCTTTCTGATACAACCAGTTGCTGTCCTAAGTCATTTTTTCCTGTTATACAGTACTATTAGTTAAGTACTTCTCTTCTTTACAAAAGTAGCAGCGTTCATTAGAGACAGTTTGGGAAGTAAAGTAGAAAAGAGAAAAAAATAACCAAAATGTCTCCCCTAATAGCTAAGAGCTATGAATATGTTGATGAATATCTATGAACAGTTAATTGTGTCCTGAAGGGGTAACTAATTTTATTTAGCTTTTTCTCTGAACATGATTAACCATAGTTTTCCAAAATACTTCCCCATTGTTCAACCTGAACCCTACTTTTCACATTTTTAAATAGCACTAAAATGAACATAATTGTTAATAAAATATTTTCTGTAATTAGGAGTGGTAAAATTACTCTTTTTAAAAGTATGAACATTTGGGAGAGCAGTCTTAGACTCAAAACTCCTTGGAAAGTTTCAGAAGGTGGTGGAGATTTTGAATTCAAGACCATAAGGCAGAGGTGAGTCCAAGATGGCATTAGAAGAGGCTGTTGCTTTGTTCCCCAGAGAACCATCTAGGTTAACTAGTGGAACACTGCACCCTGAGAGCACATGGTTTGGGGCAAAACTGGAACCTCTTAGACAGCAGAGATGGGACCAGGTAGGCTGCACCAGAAAGGATGCTGAGATTAAAGCTTTGGTGAACAAGAGGTGGGTGGAGAGAGATGCTTTGGGACTAGGGTGGGCGGCTGCCGTAAAAAACACTATGTTCTCACTTGCTGGTAGCCATGGAGAGGGGAGAGCTGAATGGTGTGGAGGCATACACTTTGATTGAGAAGAAATATGTACAGAGAAGTTGGGGTGTTCCCAACAGTCTAAGTCTGCAGTGAAGGGAACATGGACACAGTGCTGGGATGCATTCCCCATCCTTATACCTCAAGACTGATTCTCATCTTGTGAGGCTTGCTAAAAATGCACAGAGACATCAGAGTCTCATGTCTGGAATTCCAGCGAGGTGAGCTATCAGCAGCGCCAGTAAAAAAATCTGCTCTCTTCACCCAGAGCAGTGACACCAGCAGCTTGATCTCTTTAAACTTCTCCCAGACACCCTGACTCAGCACCTGAAAGATGAGGTTTAAACTAAAGAAGCCCACAGAGGCCAAGTATTCAAAAATCATAAAAATGACAGCACCACATCCTTGAAAGGTAGAAGTAGTTCAAACATCTAAGATTTAAGCAAAATGGACAGGATAAAACCACACACACACATGCAATGCATGGCAACTGGAGACCTCAAAAAAAATGACACCATAAGAAGAGACTAACTCTACACAATCCAACCACAAGAAAAAGAAGTATTTATCTTCCTATCAAATAGAGACTTCAAAACTGCCAGGATAAAGAAATTCAAAGAAATGGAAGAAAATACACAAAAGTAAGGCTGAGTGATACAAGAGAACTCTGGTGGTGCAAGGGTTAAGTCTCAGCACAATGAAAACATGGGCAGCCACTGCAGCACGAGTTCAGTCCCCACAAGTTCAATCAGGGAGCTGACCCACATGGCACAGCAGACCACTCCTGTTTCGCCCACTGCTCCCCTCAGCAGTGTATTTCAGTGCATCCTCCTGTCCTGCCCCGACTCTGTCTCTGGTGAATCCTTTCAACCCCCACACCTCTGGCCTACAACCCAGCTCTTGTATGAATAAATAAATAAATAAATAAAAATCTTTTAAAAGAGAGAGACAACAAAATCCACAAAAACAAATTACTGTCATAGAAAACACAAGGAATGAACAGAAAAAAAATTAATTTTGGTTATATTTCTCTAATGACAATGCTGAGTGTATTTTCTTCTGCTTGTTGGCCAATTATGTATCTTTGGGGAAATGTCTGCAAAATCTTTTGCCCATTTTTGAATTGTTTGTGTTTTTATGTTGTTGTTGCTGTTTTTGAAGGTCTATTTTCTAGATACCAACTCTATCAGATACATGATTTGCAAATATTTCCTTTCATATTATGAGTTGTAAAACTGTGTTGATAGTGTTCTTTGATGTACAAAAGTTTTTTAATTTGATGAAGTCCAATTTACCTATTTCTTCTTTTGCTGCACATGCCTTTGCTGTCATATCTGAGAAAAATCACTGTCAGATCCAATGTCTTGAAGTATTTTATTTTATTCTTCTAAGTTTTCTACTTTTAACACATGTTTTTAGAACATTGATAGATTTTTAGTTCATTTTTGTATTTGGTGTTAAGAGTCTACCTTCATTCTTTTACATGTGAAAATATAATTTTTCCAGCACCATTTGTTGAAAACAGCTCTTTTTTTTTCCATCAAGTAGTTTTGGCAACATTGTCAAAAATTTGTATATATGAGAGTTTAATTCTGGGCTTTCTGTCTTTTCTGATGATGTATATATCTATTCTTCTGCCAATATCACACTTTTGATTATCAATGCTTAGTGGTAAATTTTGAAATCAGGGACTGTGAGATCTTGAATTTTGTTCTTTCAGGATAAAATTTTGGCTATTCATGTCTCTTAAGATTCCATATGAATTTTAGGATGAATTTTTTATTTCTGCAAAAGAAAATCAGTTAATAGTGTATTAATTGATTAGTATATCGTGTTAGATTGATCTATTTCACGTGTTAAAACATCCTTGCATTCTAACAATAAATCCTACTTGGTCATGATGTATACTCCTTTGATTATGCTACTGAATTCAATTTGCTAATATTTTGTTGAGAATTTTTGCACTAATATTCATAGGAGATATTGGTCTTAGGGTTCTTTTCTTGTAGTATTTTTGTCTAACCTAGATATTGAGGCCATAGAATGAATTGAGAAGTATTCCCTCCTCTTCAATTTTTGGAAGAGTTTTGAGTATTGGTATTCATTCTCTAAATATTTGGTAGAATTCACCAGTGAAGTCAGAAAGATGAGAAATTTTCTTGGTCAGTATATATTTGACTACTGATTCAACACCCTTACTGCTCTAGTTTTATTCAGATATTCTATTTCTTCATGATTCAGCTTTAGTAGTTTGTGTAATTCTAGGAATTTGTTTTTCCTCTAGGTTATTCCATTTGTTGGAATTGTTCATATTACTCTTAATCCATTTTATTCCTGTAGGATCAGTAGTAGCATCCTACTTTCATTTCTAGTTTTAGTAATTTGAATCTCTTTTCCTTTTTTCTTGACCAATAGGTAAGGTTTGTCAATTTTGATATACTTTTCCAAGAACCAACTTCTGTTTTTGTTGATTTTTTGCTATTTTTCTCGGCACTATTTTATTTATCTCTGTTCTGTAATTTATTTTTTCTTTCTTCCTGCTAGATTTAGACTTAGGGTTTGTTTTGTTTTTTCCTTGTTCTTTAAACAACAATGTTAGGTTATTAATTTGAAATCTCTTTCCTTTTTCAGTATAAATTCTTGCAATTATAAATATCCCTTTAACACTACTTTCACCATATTCCCATAAATTTTGGTATATTGGATTTTCTTTTTCATTTATAGGCATTTTCTAAGCTCTATTTTTTTAAATATTTATTTATTTAAATGCTTTATTTACTTTCTTCTTGGTTTTTTTTTTTTTTAAAGATTTATACAAGAACCAGGGTACAGGCCAGATGCATGGGAGGGTGAGAGGATTCACCAGAGACAGAGCAGGGAACAGAAAAGGCAGACTGACGAAATACACTGCTGAGGGGAGCAGTGGGCGAGACAGGAGAGATCGGCTGCGC